TTTATAATAATACAGTATATATATATATATATATTTATATATTTTGTTTTACGATATTCAAATAAAATCAATTCGATTCTCGAACAACAAATTAGCTTCTATTTTCTCTTCTTCGATTTTCCTATAAAAAAATAAAAAACAAAAAAAAGTAATATATATATAACATTATATTAAAAAATATAATTTATATAATAATGCAGTATAAATATATATATATTAATATATTTTGTTTTACGATATTTAAATAAAATTGATTCGATTCGCGAACAACAAATTAGCTTCTATTTTCTCTTCTTCGATTTTCCTATGGTAAAAAAAAAATAAGTAGAAGGAACACGAGTTTTTATTATAAATTCCTCGGTGTATTTCTTTCCTAGGTAGTTTTACCCTAGGAATATCGATCATGCCTTTTTCTTCTTCTTCTTCTGTTTCTTCTTGGTGCACACGGATTGCGTATCGTGGCTGGAATATTCACAGAGAATATTGTTCTTCCTTGCTCTCTCTCTCTCTCTCTCTCTCTCTCTCTCTCTTGATTTATCTGTCTCTCTCTCTCTCTTTGCGTTTCCTTCTACCCATACTGTAAATTTAATCGACCGATCGAGTGGAAGTTCCTTAACTATCGAGAGAGAGAAATCAAGGCAAGTTAGACACGGTGAGATAGGTATGATATTTTTTTCGAAGAAGGAAACAAGTTAAACGAGGAGAGAAAATCGATAAGGTTACTGGAACATGTCAATGTTCGTCTTTCATTTTCCCCTCTTTTCACTTTCCTTATATATAATGAAGATCTATCAATTTTATTTATTATATATAACATTAATATTAAAAAATATAATTTATATAATAATGCAGTATAAATATATATATATTTAAGTAAATAATATATTCATTTTATCGTGAGGTATATAAGCTGAATGAAAATTTTATAAGTAGAGATACACGTTTGTTTAATTACAGAAAGTTAAGAATTTCTAACAAGTTTGTTCATAGTTCCATTTTCTCTCTTTCTTTCTCTCTCTCTCTCTCTCTCTCTTTGCGTTTCCTTCTACCCATACTGTAAATTTAATCGACCGATCGAGTGGAAGTTCCTT